GAGGTGGGGCGGTGTTGAACATCAGGAACCATCTGGCTGCTTCTTCACTCGGAAGTAAAATCCACGCAGGAGCGAAGCTGCCACGTCCATCCTGCAGGAAACGGGAAAACAAGGCGGCCGGCATCTGCCAAGTCTCTGTGTTATTTCTGCCTCGGCGGCCTTTACAGCACCAGCTCAGCCTCCGCCAGCAACCTCCACCCCCACCAACACAGCTGATCTGGGGACAGCGCAGGGGAGGGGGTGAGGGACAGTGGGTGGGAGCCCAGTCAAGGATGCAAATTCACAATCAGTGGAATGAAAACACTAAGGGTGGGGGAGGAGGGGGTCACAGGTCACATGCACCCACAACCCCCTCCCCAAATGCTCTGGATTACACAGCAGCTGCAGACAGATGTTAAACCGGACGTCTGCTGACTGTTCAGGACTTAAACGAATATCCGAACACCCAAACAACACAAAAAATTCTAAACAGCTCAAAAGGTGACGCGATCGGAGCCGGAGAGATTTCTGAATTTCAACTTTTAGGGTCCAACGCTCAGACTGCAGAGGAACAACAGAGGTACAGGTGTGAGGTGGAAACACCTGGACTGAGCATCACACATAAACTTTTATTTTTAGAGTTTTTACGCCGTATTAAGAATTTACTGCACTTGTTTCTGTAGCAGTTTGTGACAGTTAAATGGATTTCTGCTGCTCTGTTGTCACACTGTGCAGGTAATTCCCCCTCCCTGTGCAGCAGTGTTGCCTGCTGCACAGCTTCTCTTTACTTCCTCCCTGAAAAACCTTTAAAGAGTTTTAAATCTCCTCACATACAAGGTCTTAAATAATCAGGTCTTATCTTAATGACTTTATAGCATCATATTACCCCATTAGAGCACTGACGCCTTACTTCTTGTATTTAAGTATTTAAAAGTAGAATGAGAGGCAGGGCCTTCAGTTTTCAGGCCCCTCTTCTATGGAACCAGCTTCCAATTTGGATTCGGGAGACAGACACTATCTCTAAATTTAAGATTAGGCTTCAAACTTTCCTTTTTGCTAAAGCATATAGTTAAGGTTGGATCAGGTGACGCCGAATCCTCCCATAGTTATGCTACAACAGGTGTAGGGTGCTGGGGGATTCCCATGATGCACTGAGTGTTCCTGTGTGTTAACACACCTCTGCTGCATGTAATTAACTTTTGTCTTCTACTTGCTGACGTCCGTGTTTGGTCTCAGATGAAGGAAGCCAGTCTTAGATATTTCTGTGTGACACCATGTTTCTGAGGTTTTTAGGGACAAGAACATTAACTTCATAACAAAGAGAATAAATGTGTGTGACAAACTGAAAACGATGTTCAGCAAATGACACAAAACCACCAAGAAGAACAACATTTTGCAGCAGCTGCATTTTTAATTCCTGCAGCAAATTCACAGGAAATGTAAAACATGTTCAGCCTCCTTTCACCTGATTTTAATTTCAGACCCACAGGAAGCCAGATCCACATCGGGGTGAGCAAACACCAATCTGTGTGTGTGTGTGTGTGTGTGTGTGTGTACTTGAGCAGTCGTGGTTTCTCGTCGTTGACCAGCAGCACGGTGACCTGAACTGTTCCCTCGACTGCATGGACACCATCTGTCAGCCGCAGAGCCACGGCGTCCTTCAGGGTTTCTGTGTCATCGTGCATGTAGACGATCCTCATGCCTGCAGGAGGAAAACAGAAAATATGGAGCAGTGTGTTTCTGTGTGTGTGTTTCTGAGAGCATGTATTCATATCTTTGTGGGGTTAAAAAATTGGATGTTCCCACTGTTGCCAAAGTGCTTGCTCATAGGGAGTTCTCTGTACAATATAAAGCGCCTTAAGGCAACTATTGTTGTGTTTTGGCGCTATATAAATAAGATTGAATTTAATTTGAATGATGTTAGCTATACTTAACATCCTGGTCCCAACAAGTTTGAAGGCATTTTTTAGACTCAAAATGTGGGTTTTTTTGTTATTTTTTTGATTGACATTTAGGAATCACTGTACAATACCATCAACTTCAGCAATTTGTTACTACGTGTATTTCAAAATGTGGTTTTAGTGACAGGGTTAGAGTTGGGTTATGATTAGGTTTAGGGTTAGGCATTCATTTTGATGGTTAGGGTAAGGGTTAGGCCAGTAGCTCCCAAACTTTTTTTGGTAGGCCCCCCTTTGTTTTACAAGAAAATCTTTGCGACCTCCCTCCCCGGCAAAAACACATCCTCCAACCACACACACATTTTTTTTTTTTTCAAACTCCATTGCAGTTTATTTCACACCTCGAACCTTTTGTAAACAATTAAACAAATAAAAATGAACTGCAATAAATTACAGGTAGCAGTAAAATAAACTACTAACTCTTACACTACGTCCACATGTACACGAGTATTTTTGAAAATGCAGCTTTTTCTATGCATTTGGGCCTTTCGTCCAAACGTAAACAGTGTTTTGGATCACTGAAAACTGAGATTTTGAAAAACTCCTGCCAGTGTGGAGTTTT